TATACATAGTTGAATTTTTGTTTGTGTTGGTACAATATTACATTTTGAAAATAGAACTCTCAATCTTCTCATCAGTTTTTAAAATGATTTTTGAGTTTATGCACAAGGGGGATGATAATAAAATATGCTGTCTTCACTATATAACCTTAGTTACAAGATAGTAATTTTTAAAAGATTTTTCTTAGCTGCCACAGTAGCTCATCCCTATAAATCCCAGCAATCTGGGGAAGCCAGGGCAGGAGGATAGCTTGAGGACTGGCGTTTGAGACCAGACTGGGCAACATAGGAAGACCCCCATCTCTAACAAACATAAAAAAATTGGCCAGGCCTGGTGGCTCACGCCTGTAATTCCAGCACTTTGGGAGGCCGAGGTGGGCAGATCACCTGAGGTCAGGAGTTCAAGACCACCCTGGCCAACATGGTGAATCCCTGCCTCTACTAAAAATATAAAAAAATTAGTCGGGTGTGGCGGCACACACCTGTAGTCCCAGCTACTTGGGAGGCTGAGACAGGAGAATCACTTGAACCCAAGGTGTGGAGGCTGTAGTGAGCAGAGATCACACCACTGAACTCCACCCTGGGTGACAGAGCAAGACTCTGTCTCAAAAAAAAAAAAAAAAAAAATTAAGCAGGCATGGTGGCACATAAATGTAGTCCCAAATACCGGGGAAGCTGAGGTAGGAGGATCACTTGAGTCCAGGAGTCCAAGGCTACAGTGAGCTATTATCATACCACTGCAATGAGCAACTGTTGCTTGAGCAACAGAACAAGATCCCATCTCAAAAAATAAAAATAAAAAATAAAAAAACCCTTGGAATTACAATAAAATACTGATGGAAACCACCTTTCTGAAAGGTGAACAAATATTCTTCTACCTTCTAAATATAGCAAAGGAAAAGATTTGTAAGATTAAGGATAAAAATCACAAGATTTAGGATAAAAATCACAAGATTTAGGGTGGTCTCAAGATATGCTAGCCAAGTGACCCTATTAGTCTCTTAATCTCTTTCAACCTCAGTGTCCTCATCTGTAAAATAGGGACCATGATACCTGCCTTAGCTACATACAACTGTTGTGAGAATTAAATGAAACACTCCATTTGAAAGAATGTTATAAAACACAAAAAACTATTTTTTAGATAACAGGGCTTGTTTTTAAACAGAACACCACTTTATTTATAAATTATGGTCACAAAACAGTTTAATATTGTTTCTAACATGAAACAAATGGAAATCAATATGCAAAACATATAGTTAGGACCATGGTCTCCAAATTATACCTATGATTAGATATACAGTAAGAAAAGGATCTTTTAAAGAAAAGTATACTTCCCATACTTAAAATCTTCAGAACTGAATTTGAAAGTCTAAAAAAACCAACAATTCATTTAAATGGACTGGTTTAGCACACTGAAGATTAAATAAATGTATTTGTTAGCTATAAATTAAAAAATTGATACATTAACTTAAAAGTATTTTAAAGTTCTTATGAAGAAAAAAACATGAAAGTGAAACAGACATTCACTTCTCTGGAAATAATTCAGAAAAAGCTAGTAGTGATAGAAAAGGACATACATATACAAGACAACACAAATGAAAATAAACATAATCTGCACCTTTAGTATAATAAAGGAATTCAGTTAAATCTTTCTATGTGGTTCCTAAAAAGTCCAGAACAGAAACACCGCTTTTCAATAGGCCACAGGTTAAATCCATTTATTACATTGTCAGGCCAAGTCCTCCAGTAGGTTATTATGAATCTCAAGAATAATTTATCCTTAATAAGGCTACCTCTTTCTCTTTTATTCCTTATTAGTTATGGAATATGTATATTCATAAAGCCAATCTACATAAAGAAACAATTCTTAGTTCCGTCCATTCTGTCTGCTTTCTGACACAAGTTTAAAGCTCTTGGGAAGTTGGCTGGGCATGGTGGCTCACGCCTGTAATCCCAGCACTCTGGGAGGCCAAGGCGGGCTAACACGGTGAAACCCCATCCCTACTAAAAATACAAAAAATTACCCGGGCATGGTGGCACGTGCCTATAGTCCCAGCAACTCGGGAGGCTGAGGCAGGATAATCACTTGAACCTGGGAAGCAGAGGTTGCAGTGAGCAGAGATCATGCCACTACATTCCAGCCTGGGCAACAGAGTGAGACTCTGTCTCAAAACAAAACAAAACAAAACAAACAAACAAAAAACTTCCTGTGAAGTGAACTATGTTTATTACATGGTCCCAGAAATACAACCAACTTGCTCAATTACCAGAAGACTTTAAAATAAATAAGATCCAACAACTTTTTATCTTTTATTCCAGTCCTCAAATTTACAAATTTAAAAAGGGGTTGGGGAAATGACACATTTAAATCATTAACGAATTATTCCAAATATAAATAACTTTAGTTAAAAAATTCTTAAAATTTAGTGAAAAACATTATTTAAAAAACATCTTAGCCCAGGAGCGGTGGCTCATGCTTGTAATTCAGCACTTTGGGAGGCCAAGGCAGGCGGATCACCTGAGGTCAGGAGTTCAAGACTAGCCTGGCCAACATGGTAAAACCCCATCTCTACTAAAAATACGAAAAGTAGCCAGGCATGGTGGTGGGCGCCTGTAATCCCAGCTACTCGGGAGGCTGAAGCAGGAGAATTGCTTGAACCTGGGAGGCGGAGGTAGCCGTGAGCCAAGACGGCGCCATTGCACTCTGGCCTGGGCAACAAGAGTGAAACTGTGTCTCAAAAAAAAAAAAAAACAACTTCAATCAAGGCTGAGATTAAAAGGTGAAGTTCCTATGAGAGCAACTACTACTTTTTGAAGTTCCTTCTCTTCCCTCTGAAACCTAGGTTCACTTCAATGTATCAATGAACCAGAACTTCTGATAATAAAAAGCTTTTCTCAGGATCAGCATCACCCTCCTTCTACAAAACTAAGCTATTTCAGCTCCAGACTTATTTCCTAGCTGTTTATGTGATCACCAATAGAATTAAATGTAAGCCTTCATTTTCTCCCAGAAATCTTACTTTAATTCTATCCCATAATATTTCCCATCATTTAAATTTCTTAGGCTCAAAGTACATAGCATATCATGTCTAATTTCTGATTCTGTCCAGTTGTTCATGTACACCTTAACTCCCAACCCAGACTCTAAATTTCTCAAAGACAAAGTTAATGCCTGTCACTTTTCTCTTCCATAGACTGTGGTGTAATCGGGACAACAATGAGGCAATCCTAAAGAGGTATCCCAAATTAGGGAAACTCACCACCCCAACTTTACGTTACCAAATAATGTTTCCAGGTTGAATCAAGATGATATAGATGTCACAATGCAATCATCACAATGTCAACATGACCACAAAGAAGCCTATTCTAGCTAGTTAAGTTTCTCAGAATTTCATCTATATAGTTGGAAGCCGTTCCTGGCACTATAATCATTATACTAGTAGTACACAGTATCTATCTCTAACACTTAAACATTTTAAACCTCAGTAGACATAAGTAACTATACTGGCAATTCCTATGTGCTGGCTTTTTACTTTCTACTTGCTTTACGGCCTTTCAGAAATTATTAAAGTAATACAGAGAGATGTTCAGTTATTTCTATGGGGCATGCTAAAGTACAAAGAACAGCAGCAGCCTCGGTACCATGAAAATCTCAACCTGAGGCAGCATTCCAAGTTAAGCAAAAATAGAAAAGGGCCCATTTGTCTCCGGAGCAGAGACGATCATCAAATGCATATCAGTAAATTACCATTCATTTCTATCAATATGACCACCTCAATGCCTGAGATTATGAAAATCTGGTAGGAATCCATAAAACATTCTTAGACAGGTAGAGTACAAGAAAGCTGCCATTTACTGAGTTCTGCAAGAATTAAAAATCTATTTTACGAATGTCACTATCATTTATCCAATAAAAAATAAATTACAAATTAAGGCAGAAGAAAATACACTAAGACCTTAACCACAAAGAAAGGATGAAAACAATACAGCATTTGCAAGTCAGAAAAGTGAGATTTGGCATGGTCGTGAGATGATGTGAAGGATGAATCGTGCCTTAATTTAATGTCTGAATATCTCAGATTACATTAATCTCTCAAAAGTTGAGTAACAACAGAAACCACTTAAATAAACTGATAAAATAACTGCCATAGAAAATACTGAAGTGCCATTATTGTTACAGTTAAAAGAAACTGTTTAAGTCAGTATAGCTGCAGTCTCATCTGAATTTACCACCTGAAATCATTAACTTTTAGTTATCATAATTGAAAGCAAAACTCACATAACAATGATATTCCTAAATGTAGAAATATTTGATTTTAAAATACAATATCCAGGAAAACAGAACATGAAATGTGACCAAATTCCTCAAAATTCTCATTACCCTACAAATTATTTAATTTTGCTTGTACAACTATTACAAAATAGGACACTTCATAGTCACAAAATCTTGAATAGCTAGCAATGCTACAGAAAGTAAAAGATTAGAGGAATAAAAGATATTTCTAACTAAACCAAATAAAATTACATGTTTAAAATACTATGACAGAGGGATAAAAAGAATAAAAACATATTTTAGGCAAGCAAGTCCAAAGTAAAAAGCTTTTCATCTTGTTTTCTTCCCCTACTCCCAAGGTAAGGTAAACACAAAGTAAATTATGCATTTAAAATCTATCCACGGTGCCTGAACAGAATTTATTAAAGAGGACCTGCACACTACACATTCTGTACCAAAGACCTATATACGGCAGGCTGATTTTCTTTATTGTTTTATATTGTCATACAAAATAAGGTTTTATAATACTAGTCGTAAAAAAAAAAAAGAAACCACAACATAAAGTACTTAGAACCATACAAATATACAAATATAATGGAAATACATAACTTCTACTTTGTTTTTAAAGTTTGATAAACATATAATTACAACTAGAGAAATTATATGATGATTCAAATTTAAAATGATATAATTATTAGAAATAGTAAATTTTAAAAATGTTTTAACTTACCTGGTTTCTTTCTGGATTTTTCATGACCTAGCTGTCCTAGATCATTACATCCACAAGTGTACACTGTTCCATCATCCAGAACAAATACAGTATGTCTGAGTCCACATCCTACATCTCGGACCTTTTTATTTATAAAGAAGTCACTTTTTCTGGGCTCTAGTACAATTTCTTCATCAATTCCACCCAAACCTAGCTGTCCAAAGGATGCATTGCCCCAGCACAACATGCTTGTAATTATTTTGGTCTTCCAGTTTCAATAAAAAATTCTCTTCTGAAACCCCGGAAAGTTGGAGGTACCCTATGTCTGAGGAAATAGAAAGAAGTTAATATGACTTCAAAGAAAAAAGGATGTATAATTGCTCTTTCAAGTGCTAGGCTACAGTAATTGCTACATGGTAAACACTAAATTTACTTTATAACATGGTACATAAGTATCATTGTTTCAAAAACCAATCAGTTGTATTTTTTTAAATGTATCATACAGAAAGTTTTAGGGAAAGTATGTCACTTTCTATGATCCTTTGCAAAATTTAAAACATATTAACTAGTTTTGACTTCTGGTTATCTTGTGATAGACTAAACTAATGGGAGTAAGTACCTTGATGAAATTAATCACAATTTTTTTCTACTTTTTCCTTTAAATAATTTCAGTGGGAGCAAGAAATAAGACATCTTTTCACTGCCCAAGAAGCAAATATACACAGTGAAAAATTTAGCCAACTGCAGAAACATAACCTTGCAATCTCCCTCAAATCCTAGTATAATTAAGCCTTCTAATACCTACCTCCACATCAACAGAAAATGGAAGTTCTTATCTGTAACAGAAATAAAACCAACAATGGAAATTTAAAGCAATTTTCCACAATTTAAACGACTCTCCCAATTATTCTTAATCGGCCAGAGAGAAAATGAGGATTCTCTTACCAAACCACAATCTCAAATCACCTCCAAAGACCCCATTTTTCAAATCAAAATACTAACATTCCAACCTCACTAATTTTAAAACTAAATCAATTTGCATAATTATAATACAGAAAAAAACTCATGCAGTTTAAAATCAATTCTCTCCAAAATTCAACCTCTTTTATTACAATTGGTAACCGGGACTAAAAAACTCTCCCGTGAGCAATCTATATCTATCTATACTTCTGAGACAATTATTTAAAGATTGGCGGGGGTTAACTGCAAATAACTCCAGCACTGCTGATTTTTCAAGAATAGGAATGGGGGCTGGGGCACTGATAGTCTGATGGCGAAATCTGTAGAACTTTCCAGCACATTGACTGAATATTTCTTCACTTGTAAAGACACAAATAACAGAGTCCACTTCATCTATACATACGTAGATTTTTAAACACATCGCGTTACTAAATATCATAATTACAGGAAGTCAGCCTTATTCTGTAGTAGTCATGCACATTCTTACAGAGCCTGCGAAGTCTCAACCTCAATTTTCCTACGTTCCTGTTACCAAGTGCCCAAGGTGTCCCATTCCACGACCCATCATCCACTAACAAGTTTGATTTCATTCTTTCGGGGCATCAGAACTCTATAATTCCCAAGACTTCTACATTGTCTTCCCATATTTGAAAAACAAAATAAGAGTAATACAGGAAAATACCCCGACTTCAGCGCGCGAGGTCTAACCACCCTTTTCTTTAAAGCACAGAGGCGTCCTCTTGCCAGCAACAGGTAGGGAAATGAGAAGCAGTTTAGTCCCGTCTTTCCCTGAACGTGCACCCAGATCAGCTCATGGGGACCGGGAAAGAGAAATCATCTGCACACACCCAACCTCGCGGCCGAGCAGACAACTACCGCGACCGGCCGCTCGCAACAGCCTCAGAGGCCGGCGGCCGAGGCTTGGCAGCCCGCCGCCTCAACCTGAGAGAAGCCCATCCCCAGGGAGGTGCGACATTCCAGCCCCGGGGCCAGGGAGCCACAACCCTGCCCTCGCCCCACGCCTCTCACCCCTAGGAAGCGCTGAGAAAGCGCCCTGTGCCTAGCCGGCCTGCATCCGCCCAGCCCGGCCTGCCCCTCCCTAACGCCGTCACACGCCCCCGAACCCACTGGGGCCACAACTCGCCCAGCCCTTCAGGGCAGGGGAAGCCCAAGGTGACGGGGGGCGGCCCTTCCCCAGAGACCAAGGCAGCGCGGTCGCTGAAGCAGGTATCCGGCTCCTAGGACCCTCCTCCGTCAGCCAGTGGCGGTGATCACCAGGGCACCTCCGGCGTCTGTGCCGCTGCTCCGCTGCTCCCCTCCCCGGCCCCTGTGAAACTTTACCGGGTTCCTTAGAGAAAAGCGGACGCCACTGCTGTCCAGTCCAGAGACAGCCGTCAGCGACCCGGATGGAGCGGGCGGGGAAGAACAGGAGGCAAGCGGAGCGCAGAGCACGAGGGGTGGGGAGAGTTGGGGAAAGAGACTGGGTAGGAGAAGGCAGAGGGGGAGGTGGCCACGCGAGGGAGGCGGGGGAGGGGCTGGCCGGAAGTGAACCGCAGAGCACGCGCGCGAGCCCGCCCACTTCCCGGCCCCCGCGCCTGCGCCGGAATACTCCCGGGGGGCGCCTGGCCACAGGCGCCTGCGCAGTGTGCTGGTTTGCGTTGCTTTAAGAGGGAAAAGTCAAATACAGAAAATTGGAGTTTGCGAAGACAAACGAAGAAGGTATAAACTGTTTTTGAGAATGCTTCGGCGTGCACAGAACCTTTTAATGAAGAAAATCACTTTGTTTTTGGTTTGGTTGTCTTTGTGCTCATGGATGCTAGCTGGTCTTTTTATTATTTTACTCTCTCTTTTCCCAAGGAGATTTTAAGTAGCAGATGAAACATCACGATTATGAATATAAAGACTGGTGAAGGGTTATTTTATCCCATGGCCTCAACTGGAGCCTGTCTGAGGATGTGAGATGTATTGATAGCAATGGTTAAAGCTACTTGAACTAATAACACCACCAGTTCAGGTTCCTGTTACAGTGTTGGCTCCCATCACTTTCTACACTCCCCCCTGAAAGATAGGCTTGAATTGCAGGGCCTCATTCTATCAGAGAAAATTACACATTTGACTGCAGTCCCTGATTCATAAAAACGAAGTCTGGATCTCCTAGGCTAGCCTTAACTTCTTAAAAAGCAGAAGAACTTGAAACAAAGCACTTTTGAAATTCTAAGTTTGGCATTGCTAGAATGAATATTCAGTACCTAGAAGAAGTTCCACAAATAGGCCATCTTTCTTTTTCTTTTCTTATTTTTATTTATTTATTTATTTTATTTATTTATTTTTTTGAGACAGAGTCTTGCTCTGTGCCCCAGGATGGAGTGCAATGGCGCGGCGCAATCTTGGTTCACTGGAACTTTCGCCTCAGCCTCCCGAGTAGCTGGGACAACGGACATGCGCCGCCACGCGCGGCTAATTTTTGTATTTTTAGTAGAGACAAAGTTTCGCCGTATTGGTCAGGCTGGTCTCAAACTGCTTACCTCAGGCGATCCACCTGCTTCGGCCTCCCAAAGTGCTGGGATTACAGGCGTGAGCCACCGCGCCTGGCCTGTTTCTTTATCTCTTGTTGAAAAACATGTTTTAGGTAAGAATTGTCTGTTCTAGAATATGTTTAAGTGTGTGTATTCGTTTCCTAGGCTTGCCATAATAAATTAAAACAGATTGAGAGGCTTAAAACAACAGAAATTTATTGTCTCACAGTTCTGAAGGCCAGAATTTCAAAATCAAGGTGAAAACAAGGTTAGTTCTCTCCTGGGGCCTCTGAGAGATAATCTTTTCCAGCCTTCTCCACTAGGTTCTGATGGTTGCCAACAATCCTTGGCAATCCTTGTGGAAGCATCCCTCTTCACCTTGTTTTCGCTGTGTGTCTGTGTCCAAATTTCCCTTTTATAAGGACACCAGATACCGGATTAGAGCCTACCCTGATCCATTATGACCTCATCTTAACGTTATTACATCTGCAAAGAACTCATTTCCAATTAAAGGTCACATTTGGCCGGGCGCAGTGGCTCACGCCTGTAATCCCAGCACTATGGGAGGCCGAGGTGGGCGGATCACCTGAGGTCGGGAGTTCGAGACCAGCCTAACATGCAGAAACCCTGTATCTACTGAAAAAATACAAAATTAGCCGGGCGTGGTGGCGCATTCCTGTAATCCCAGCTCCTCAGGAGGCTGAGGCAGGAAAATCCCTTGAACCTGGGAGACGGAGGTTTTGCAGTGAGCCTAGAGCGCGCGATTGCACTTCAGCCTGGGCAACAAGAGCAAAACTCCATCTCAAAAAAAAAAAAAGTTCACATTCACAGGTACTGGAGGTTAGGACTTCAGCTTATCTTTTGAGGGATCAAATTTAACCCACAACAGTATGTTACAGAAATGAATGTAGAGGCCGGGCGCGGTGGCTCACGCCTGTAATCCCAGCACTTTGGGAAGCCGAGGCGGGCAGATCACGAGGTCAGAAGATCGAGACCATCCTGGCTAACACGGTGAAACCCTGTCTGTACTAAAAATACAAAAAAATTAGCCGGGCTTGGTGGCGGGCGCCTGTAGTCCCAGCTACTCGGGAGGCTGAGGCAGGGGAATGGCGTGAACCTGGGAGGCGGAGCTTGCAGTGAGCCAAGATCGCGCCACTGCACTCCAGCCTGGGCGACAGAGCAAAACTCCATCTCAAAAAGAAAAAAAAAGAAAAAAGAAAAGAAATGAATGTAGAATGACAAGATGCTTAAGCAAGGAAAGCATAATTTCAACATTAGAAATGGTAGGAATGTTCACAAAAAAATACTCATATTTTGAGAGTTTCATTGCTCTTGTTGGCCTTCTTCTTTTTTTGAGATGGAGCCTTGCTCATCTCTGCTCACTGCAATCTACACCTCCCGGGCTCAACGGATCCTCTCACCTCAGCCTCCTGAGTAGCTGGGACTACAGACACATGCCACCACGCTCGGCTAATTTTTGTATTTTTTGTAGAGACAGGGTCTTGCCATGTTGCCCAGGCTAATCTACAACTCCTGGGCTCTAGTAATCTGCCCACCTTGGCCTCCCAGAGTGCTGGAACTACAGGTGTGAGCCACTGCTCCAGGCCTCTTGTAGGATTTTTGTTTGTGGTCTTTTACCCTTTGGGGCTTGTTGCCTCAGAATATATCATTAAAAGGGAAGTTATGGAATTCAGGATCTTTAAGATATACATTTGATGCTACAATACATAAAAATTAAAATGTGAGCGACTTAATATAATAAAAGTGTATTTTTTAACCTTTTTAGCAGTCCAAATAAGTGTTCCTAATGAGTGAAAACTGATTTCCAGGGACCTGAGAAGATGAGGGAGGGTGAGCTTCTTAAAATCCTTGTCTGGGAAATGCCACATATCACTACTATACACAAAACAGAACTCCGCCCCTAGAAACAAAGGTGCTGGGAAACATAGTCCCTGAGTTCCCAAGTACTACTTTGTGCTGTGGAAGGGAGAGCATGAATTGGTGGATAGCTGTCTCTTCCACCTGGATGTATATCTATCTGGAACATTTTTAAAGATCGATCTTGCTTGTAGAAAGTGGAATGGACATTTCTGCATGTTCCTTTTAACCTTATAAATCCGTGAAACTATGGTGCAAGATTTTAGAAAGTAGCATGTGATTATCTTTAAGATGAAACAAGTATAGGATCCTAGGGTTATTAGAATAATGTAAATTTGTTGTATAAATGCAGCATGAGATATTGGTGAGTATGATCTCTGGTGCTGGTTTATCTGAATTCAGAGCCTAAACCTATAAGCTTACCTCAGACATCTGTCCTTCTATCCCCCCAAACACAGAGGCATTTGCTAATGATCCGTTTTACAGAATATTACATCTCAGCCATAATTTTTATAATTATGTTCATAATCCATATCGCACTGGGTTATTGTGAAGCCAGTAAAATGACACATACAGTGCCTTGTATGTGTCAAGAGATTTGTAAATGTTAGCTTTTACTATTACTAGTATTATTTCTCCTGAATTACTAGTAAGGGAATGCAGTCCATATGGCCAGAAAAAAAATAATTTTAATTCATAACAAGAGTAAAGTATTTTTTTCCTATTTTTTTTAAAAAAATAATGCTCAGACTGTTGAGAGGCATCTAAAAGTAGTATTCATTCTTCTTCCACTCTTTCTCTTTCTCCCTTCTTTCCAGCCATACTGCTCCTGCTGGATCTCACCTCATTTTCTTCATTCAGGTTTCTACTCATGTCACCTCTCCAGACTTCTCTGATCAACCTATCCAAAAAACTATCCCCTCTCTCCCTATCATCTTATCCTGCTTGCTTTTCCTTCATATCCATTATAACAAACTGACATTTAATTATATAATTTATAAATATGTATTATGCTTATCATATAAAAATATATATAACTAAGAAAATGGACAAGCAATTATATACAATCTGTTTATATGTTACTTAAATAGATATTTAACTTTACCTCCTCCGTTAGAATGAAAACTCATAAAGGCAATGATTTTGTCCGTTTGCTCCGTGCTCTATCCCCCAGGATCTTGAACAGTTCCTGGCTCACAGCAAGTGCTAAAAATATACTTCTGAGGCTGGGTGCGGTGGGTCAGACCTATAATCCCAGCCCTTTGGGAGGCCGAGGTGGGCAGATTGCTTTGATCTCAGGAGTTCGTGACCAGCCCGGCAACAATGATGAGACCGCGTCTCCATGAAAAAGACAGAAATTAGCTGGATGGTGTGGTGTGAACCTGTGGTCACAGCTACTCGGGGGGCTGAGGTGGGAGGATTGCTTGAGTCAAGGAGACAGAGGTTGCAGTGAGTGGAGATTGTGCCACTGCACTCCAGCCTGGGCAACAGAGTAAGAGATCCTATCTCAAAAAAAAAAAAACAAAAAAAAATTCTTGAATTAATTAATTAATAGTGCTGGCAGCATTGTAAATTATCACAACCTTTTAATAAATAAATTTGGCAATATATTTCAAGAGCCAGTAAATT